TCATTTATTACACCCTTGATACCATATGCTTCACACTTTTTCAACAGTCTTTTATGTGGAACCTTATCAAAGGCTTTGGCAAAATCCATATAAATCATACCTACCGCTGTCACTCATGCTTGCTGTTAAAATGTCTAATGTTTCTAGCAAATTTGTTACACAGGCTTTATTTTTTACAAAGCCATGTTGATTTTTTGATAGCAATTTATTTTCCATCAGATGAGTCATTATCGCTTCTTTTATAAATGCTTCCATAACTTTGCATGGTACAGATGTTAATGATACGGGTCTGTAGTTAAGCGGGTTTGTTGTATTTCCATTCTTGAATATTGGAGTAATATTTGCTTCTTTCCATTTGCTAGGAATTTTTCCTGTTTCAATTGATTTTCGGTAAGTTAAAGCTAATGGAGTTGCTACACTACTTGAACAATTTTTAAGTACGTAAGGACTAATACCATCACTACCACATGCTTTGTTGACGTCCAAAGAATACAGTGTTTGCTGAACTGCCTCATTTGTAACAACATTTTTCCAATCCCATTAAAAAGGTTTTGTAATACGTGGTACAAACTCCGGAATTTCACCATGCTCTTTAACAAAAACCGATTGAAAACTTTTGTTCAATATATCTCATGCCTGTCAGATGTGAGTACATTTGCATAGTTTTTCATTGATTGTATTTTACCGATGTTTTTTTGGTTCTTTTTCGCGTATTTGTAGAATAGTCTCAGATTTTTTTTTGCATTTTTTATAAGTTTTTTCTCATAATCAATAGTGGATTCTTTTAACTTGCTTTTGACTAATTTTTTTACTGCTTTGTACTCATTTAATTTATTTATATTTTGTACTCATTTAATATATATATATATATATATATATATATATATATATATATATATATATATATATATATATATATATATATATATATATATATATATATATATATATATATATATACATATATATATACAGTGGTTTTCATAAATTTAGACGCGCTCATATTTGAGAATAATAATTTTTAGTTTTTCAACGATAAAACAATGACGAAAAAAGATTTTAGTTTAGTTTTTTTTCTATTTATTAGATAAATACATACAGAATACAAAATTTAAAAAAAGTTTACAAAAAAAATGAAATACTAAGTAATAATTAGGTACAACTACATGGTATTAAATAAATTAGATAAAAAAAATTATTCATAAATTTAGACGCACGATACATTAGAAGACGTAATTTATGAACCAATCAATATTTTGTGTATCCGCCTTTTGCTTTAATACAACTAAGAACTCTTCTAGGCATAGACTCAACAAAATTTTTGCACATCGCTTCTGGGACCCCATACCAGTTCTCCTTAAGTAATTCCTTCAGCTAAGTAAGTGTGGAAATTTGAACCTTTGCTAATTCACGGTCAATCCAAGCCCAAATGTTTTCAATCGGGTTTAAATCAGGTGAGTATGGAGGCCACGGTATTGTCATGATACTATTATCGTTGAACCACTCCTTTGCATAGTATGCAGTATGTGCAGTAGCGCCATCTTGTTGAAGTTTCCATGGTTTATCATTGAGCATAAGCAGGTCAATTGATGGAATTAAGTTGTTTTCCAGTACTTCCACGTATATTCTGGAGTTGATTCTTCCGGTGTATGTTTGGCACATACCAACACCTTTGTAATTGAAGCATGACCAGAATCCTATTGAGCCTCCTCCACTTTGTACAGTTGGTCTAATGTACCTGGCATAATACTTTTCATGAGCCATTCTTTTGACTGTTATGTTAGATTTGCGATTGATAAGCTCAAAGTTACTCTCATCACTCCACATAATGTTTTCCTATTGTTCTATTGTCCAATACCTTCTTTCACGACACCATTTTAGTCTCCTTTGTTTATCATATGGACGTAGAAGCGGTTTCTTCAAAGCAGTGTAGACTCCAATCTTGTTTTTGATAAGTATTCGGCGGACTGTGCTTTGAGAAATAGATGTATTTCGCGTTGTATTGAATTCTGTGGTTGAATCTCTGTAACTAATTCTTGAATTAGCTCTGACAGCTCTAAAATGAACACTATTGTCCTTTCTGGTGGTTGACAAGGGTCTACCTTTCCTCTTTTTTTCGCTGGCACCACCAGTGTGAAGAAAGTTTTGTTTCGTTGTTCGAACGCATTTCTCAGAAACTCCAATTAACTTGGCAATTACTTTTGGTTCCTTCTTTGATGTGCGCATTAATTTGCCATCTTTCACCTCGAGTGATACGTCTTTTGCCCATTTTTTGCGTCTTTTTAGTGCGAAACTAACTTAACTTTTGTTTATTTATTAAATAATGATTAACTAATTCCAGGTAAGTCATATTTATATAAGGCTTTTTGACAGAATCAATTACTTTAGGCCTATTAATGAGAAATACGGGGAAAAAACTACTAATTAACTATCAATTAACAAGATATAAGACTTTTTTGATTGTGCGTCTAAATTTATGAACAAAATAAAATCAAGCTTATCAATTAACTTTTTTGTATTAATCGGTATAGAATGAGTAATAAACATCCTGTAAAAAAAATTAAGGTACTCTTTAATAGAGTTTTACTTCCTCTTGTAAATTATATATCAAACATAGCGGTAGTACTTTTATTTTATTTTTATATATGAAAAAAAAAAGAATGCGTCTAAATTTATGAAAGCTACTGTATATATATATATATATATATATATATATATATATATATATATATATATATATATATATATATATATATATATATATATATATATATATATATATATATATATATATATATATATATATATATATATATATATATATATATATATATATATATATATATATATATATATATATATATATATATATAAGCATTACCGTTTTTTAAAGTTTCCTTTTAAAAAATGTTATCTAATATGGCAAAAAAACATACCACGCGTTGGTAAAACAGTTTCCTTCATTTTGCCAATGTCAAAAAGAGTGCCTGATGCGTTTCTGAGAAAGTATTATGTTTACATAATATTTTTCTAGACCTTTCTTTTGAAGATTAAGCAATATTTGATTTGAGTGTTAAAGATAAGTGTTATCAGCGTTATTTCATTAAGTAAAAACCTTTTTTGATATAAAAAAAATCTAACAAGCAAGCTATGAAACTGTAATCTTTCTAAAAACTCTCTTCTGGGGCAGAACCGCATAAATGCAAAGGAGGCACAACCGCATACTTTTGATATTTATTAAAGTTAGGTAATTACGAATAACAATATATACAATCGCCACACTTGAATGCGTAAATGAATAGAAATAGTTTTGTTTTGAGATGTTGAAAATTAGATTTCATGTTTTTTTTTTTAATTTTTATGAATGAGTTTTTGATTAAAATATAAAGCTAAGAGTATAAATCAATATCTTGTTATATTTATGTATATCTGATGATTATTATATTATCATATTTCTTAAGTATATAATTATACATTTCTTAATTAAAATAAAAATGTATGAAGAAAAGTATACCTTCAACGATTTTTGTGAGGGTGCAGTTGTGCCTCACAACAGGGCCAACGACGTCGGGGGGCCGGGGGCACGTCCCCCCACTTTTTTTCTAGTGAGGTTTTTTATTTTATTTTATTTTTTAAGAAAAATATTGATACAGAGGACTTTTTTCACAAATTGTTGATTTCTCCCCCCCCCCCCCCCCCTCTTACTTCAAATCCCGTGTCGTCGGCCCTGCACAGTGGGTGCAAAACCGTTTTTTTCACTAAGTGTACTTTTTGTGCAACAACATTTTTAAAAACTGTTTTTTTTTTCTTTTTCTAATAGCAACATTTTAAAGCCTAATAATGTGGTTATTGAAACAAAATGTTCAAAAAAACATTTCATTTTTATTTCCATCTAACATCTATCCAAACGTTACGGGATCGGTAAAGAGTTTGGAAGGGACTCTAGCATTAACTCACATAGATAAGATTACTTTAATATATATTTCTTGAAGATACGTCTCGTTATTTACAATTACAAACTTGGATTGCGCCAAGTGCTCAGTTTGTGGTGAAGAAGGAAGCGTAAGAGAGCGAGACTTGCTACGCGTTCAGTTAAATATACAAAGTAAAGAAGCATACTGGCTGCTGCGTTGGCGAACTAACGCAACAGTCGGTTATGCCCCCACTATATATATATATATATATATATATATATATATATATATATATATATATATATATATATATATATATATATATATATATATATATATATATATATTATATATATATATATATATATATATATATATATATATATATATATATATATATATATATATATATTACATTCGAGCCTTTTAAATCTTTTTTAAAAAACTAGTAAGCTTTGGTTTATTCCTTTTTATTTGTTTTCCTTTTAAATTCGGTTTTGTGCTTTATTACGTAATAAATATTTTATTAACTTACAACTGTTAAATTGTTTAAAATAATTTTTCAAAGTGAAGCTTTAAAATAAAAACAAACAATCGCAGTAACAATAGTCATATTTTAGACAAAGTATTTCGCTGCTTCTTTACTTTCATGAACAAGTTTAATCTACTAAGAGTATTTTTACCCCACTTAGGGGTCATCCATTATGTGCGTCATGCTAAATCTAACTCTTTAATAGAAGTGCGAGATCATTTGCTCTCATCCGCAGAGATCTAATTAAGCATATAGCACTATATTACTTTAAAAATTTATATGCAAGAGAACCAATGATTTCCTACTTCTATTTAAAAGTTAAATTTATAGTAACGTACTATATGGATAATATAGTACGTTACTATAAATTTATAGTAACGTGCTATATTATCCATATCCCTTAGCTCCTTCTACCCCAGTTGCTTTGTTTTAACTCATTGATTTTGAAAAAAAAAAAGTACCAATAAAAAAAACGCCGACGCCGACTTTTATTGTCATGCATGAGAATGTTTGTATTTTAAACCGTATAATAGTTTATTGTAATATAAGTCTACTACGCTATAAAAAGATTTATATTTTAAAAAAATTAATAACTTTATTTTTTCCTCCAGTGACGTTGTTTTGTTTGATTTTTGTTCAAATTATTGTTCAAACTATCAATAGATGGCAGTTTTATTTTATCTTGTTTTTTTTCTGTAGTGCAATTAGAAGAACAAATAAAAGACGACGACCATTTGTTTATTACGGGTAAACAAGAACTAGTTTCTAGTTGATTTGATTTTTTCAAAGAGTTTTCCAAATTTAAAAAATGATAAACACCACCTTTAACATCTCTATTAGTAAGTTTAAATGATTTGTCCTTATGAACATCTGGTAAGAAATGTTCCAACTTTTCTTCTTTATAAGTATCCTTGATTTGAACAAGATTAACTTTTTTAGACATTTTAAGCATTCTACAATAACAAAAAAAAAGAAAAAATTAACCAATTATTGCACTTGTCGACTTGAACTTCGTTTTCTGCAACGTCAAGATTCCAAGCAGATCAACATTTTTTAAAAACTACACATAACTGTTTCAAAAGTTTCAAAAGCTCTGTATTATAATTTTCCTTAAAACAGAAAAAATATATGTACATACATATATATATATATATATATATATATATATATATATATATATATATATATATATATATATATATATATATATATATATATATATATATATATATATATATATATATATATATATATATATATATATATATATATATATATAACGTTAAACAACGTGTTAAAACTATAAATTTTACTAAATAAAAATTAACGAAAACTTACTTATTTTGTTTGGTAACCATTAAAACAAAAACTGCTTAAAATTCAACAATGTCAAAACTTAATGTCAACAACTTGGATAAGTTTTCTCTCGCTACTTCTATTGACCTTTTAAATTTTGATTAGCAACTCGAACATTACCTAAATTCTAAATAGGTATATTACTAAATAAAAAAAAAGAACTTTAATACTATTATTAATTTTTTTTTATAAGTTTAAAGCTAAATTCATTGGCTATATGCTTGTGGGTGTTGTTTCGCAAAATTTAAGAAATAAAACGAATTTTATTCTTTATTGTAATTTTTGTTTTACAACTTTATTTTAAAGGTGAAGAGTAAAAAAAAGTTTTAATGAAAAAACAAAAATTGAAAAATCATTTTAATAACAAAAGTTGAAAGGGGTCCAAACGCCCCCCTTTCCCCTGGTATTATTGGCTCACAATAACAAGTAAAAAAACAAAGAAAAAAGAAACAAAGAAAAACAAAAATAAAAGAAAAAAAAACTTTGAAAATGAAAAATAATAAAAAAGATTTTAAAATTTTTTTCTAGCACCAGTATTTTATGGAAAAAAAAAAAAAAAGAGCAATTTGAATTAATTTTTGTAGATTGTTGATATGTCGTGTGCTTATGTATATAAATAATGTTGAATATATTTATTGTTTTGCATTCTCTGTTGATTGAGTTGTTAATGCTTTTTCTATATTTTGCTGTTTACTTGTTTAATTAATATATGAAACGTATTTTATAGGATTTAAAATTCTATATAGTAGAGAATGTATACTTTTTTAAGCTTGCATTTATTTTGCTTATTTTCATTTGTCTACGGAAATTATTTTCTCTCACTACATCCTTCTTATATATAGAACTTATGACATTTAATTTGTGTTTTCTCCTACATTTGTTGTCACTCATCTTATCTCACCCGTTCTTTCTCTCTCTCTTTTTTTTATTTTTGTTAGCCTAACTTCTTTAATATTTTTGTTCTGATTCCGAATTTTTGAATATTATTGTTTCTATGATTTTTTTTTTTTTTTAATTAAATGTTTTATTGTAGTTTACTCTATTTTTTATTTCCTTATTATAATATATATTTTTTAAATTTGTTTATTTTAATAAGGTGTAACTCCATTGACTAGTTTTTAACTATATGAGTGAGAACGAACCTAATTTTGTAAGTTATAATTAAAGTTGTAATTTTTAATTTTATGGTTTAATAAATGGATTAAAAAAAAAAAATCTCTTTTTTTTTAAATTTTCAAACCTAAAAAAAAGTAAATTTTGAAAAACAAATCTAATTAAACAAATAAAATATAAACTTCTTACATTTCCTTATCAATAAAGAGTTTTTTTAGGGTGTCTAATATTGTTGATTATAAAAATCTCTGAAGTTTAATTTGGCTTGAGCTTATTTTTTTAGCTATTCTTTCCAGTCTTGAAAATAAACTTTTCTTTCCAGTCTTGAAAATAAACTTATAGTTTAGATAAATCGCTGACCTCTTCAAAGCTGTCCGCCTTAAAGAAATTTCTAAATATTCGAATATAACGAACAAATTTTCTTTTCCTCTTCGTCGATTTAAAGTTTTATTGATTTTTCTTTTCGCCGATTAAAAGTTATAAAATGATTTTAAAACTTTATATAGGTTTTACTATAAGTTGATTATTTTTTTGGTGATAACATTGCATTGCTAATCGTAAGTTGTTTTGTTTAACTAATTAAAACTACTCTGAGTTGTTTATTTTGTTTTGATTTATTTTGAAGAATATGTTATACGGTTGCAACTAAAATTAATTATAGTTTTTTTATTAAGAATTACAGTTTTTATTTTAGTTTTAAAAACCAAAACAATGATTGCAGAGCTTCGGAGTTTTTGATGTTCCCAAGTTCTGTAACTCAATAAGTTGTAAAGCATCTTTTTTTGATATACGAAATAATGTATAAATAAAAAGAATAATCAAGCGCAAGTTTGCTTTATGTCTAAAAGTTATCAATCTTAATAGTAGTATTAATAGTAAATTTTAATTTTCTTTCGATGACAGCTAGACAGCTATGCCTTTGGAGAATGTTCTATTATTTGGTCCTTTATAGGTTTTTCTATTTGCGCTTCTTTGTAATTTATTTTATTTGACTTTAGTATCCGGTCTTTCTTCCGCTGCTCGAATTTAACTTTTTTTTTTTGTATTTTTAATGTTTTATATTTTTTTGTATTTTTGTTATTTTATATTTTTTGTGTTTTTTTTGTTTTTTTTTAATTTTTGTCTTTTTCTCTCTGTTTTTGTAATTCTTTATTGTACAGAATGGCTTTAGAGACACAAAATCTTTTTTTACAATATGTATTATTTGATACTGTTATTTTTAAAAGACTTTCCTTCTTTACTTGGATAAGTTCGTTTAAAGCAGGATAGCATTTTCCTTTAGCAACTGATAAAATTATTTTCATTGCATAATCCGTTCTTCGATCTTCTAGTGCATTAAAACCAAGTTCTTTAATTAATGGTGCAGCATGGGAATTTCGTGGTGCATAGGAAATGATTCTTGCGGCTTGTTTTTGTACTACGTCTAATTTTTTTATATAGGTGTTTGATATTGAAATATAGAATGAACTAATAAATTCCATTTGACTAAGCACCATTTCGTTGTAGGCCAACTTAAATAATTTTTTTGGTAGGCTTGCTGATGGTCTTGCCAACATTCCCAGAGAAGAGTGGCATTTTTTTATTACCGACTCGATCTGCTGTTTAAAGGTTAGATGCTGATCCAATGTTACTCCTAATAATTTTACACTGTTTTAAGGCTTTATTGTTACTTCATCTAATAGAATTTGGTAGTCAGCAGGTATCAGCAGGTAAATAGAACTTTATTTGTTGTAGTTAATTTTAATTAAAGTTTAAATGACTCTAAAGAAACATTGTTTTCTTTTTAGTATTTCCCATTGCTTAAAACAAACCGAGTTACATATTAATAACGAGTGCATCCCGATGCTTTAAGGCAATAGTGAGGATAACTTCTTACCTTCAATGCAGCATAAAAGTAAAAGAAAGTTTTGCACTACATATATGTACTTTTACCATGTATATGCATTAGTTTTTTTTGAAGGAAAAGTGGGGTTACCTGTCATTTAATTTTTCCTCATTTTATTTCTGTCCTCTCTTTTTAACTAAAAGTATAAAATAAAATGTTTTTATTTAAAATCCATTAAAAATCCCACGGTGCGGCGGCCTGATTTGGACCGGTACTGGCGTAATGTTTTAAAAGCCTGGTGGAGACTTTAAAATTTATTCAACTTAACTTTTGAAAATGGTATTGACTCAATTATTTATCGAAGAAAACGAGCATGTTAAGATATAACTTCTTGATCTCAGAATAAATATTGTTTCTCAAAGATGCAACATTTTATTTTAATTTTCTTATAAATTGTTTCTTATTAGTGCTAGTTTATGTATTTGCTAAGAAGAAAAGAATTTACAATCGTAGTTTTAAAAAATATATATTTAACTGACTTTAGAGTCTTATTACTAAACACATAACAAACTCAAGTTCGCAAAGGTTTTATAATAATTTTAAATCAGACTTTAAAACTTTGGTTTTGCGAAATAACATGCCAATGACTCTTTAATAACCCCTAATCTAAGATAAAAATCTTTCAAGCTGTGTGAAGAAAATAATCTTGAACTAGAATTTATAGGTTTAAATTTAATAAGATTTTTTTTTCGAATGACGTCAAAAAGATATGACAGTTCAAAATTAATTATTATTAATTTGAATTTAAAGAAAAAGAAAAGGTTTTATTAATGAATTTTATGAGTTAATGTTTCTCTATTTTGAGATTATTGTAAAATATCTTTTAGTCATTATTTAGAATTTAACCCTGTAATATAGAACTTATCCCTGCAATATGGAACTTAACCCTGCAATATAGAATTTAGCCCTGCGATATAGAAGGTGAAGGTGTTATTAAATGATTGCTTCAAGATTGCCAAATATATGCATGAACGATCACCTAACAATTTTAACTCATTCTCATTCTATTGCTTTACTAAACTGTTTAGTAAAAAAAAAAACAATAAATTTTATGTTCTATTTATATTATCTCCTAGCAAACTTTTTATAGAGAAATTTCAGTTGGCCTATAAATTTGAGCAGTCCACAGTAGTTTTTCTCATCGGTTACTTAGTGGATCATTAGTGGCAGCCGCCAAAAACCAGTTAACCAATGACTAGCTACTGTATCACATGAAAGTTATCGGCTGGGCACTTATGGCGGGTGCCTTAAGTGCCTAGCCGATAACTTTGTAACCGATGAGTAAAACGCCAATAAACTGCTCAAAATGCCTGTATAAGTCCACTGCAAACTCACTACAAAAATTTTTGATGGGCTAACTATAAAATACTTTTTTTACAACCTAATATTTTATAATTTTATATATTTTATAATATTTTACATATACAAACAAAAATTATTAAAAAAATAAATCCTAATATATTAAACTTATTTATTAACAAAATATATTTATATATATTTTGAAATTAGTTTATATCATAATTTTAAATAATCATTCGTAAATGCGATTTCTGTTCGTAGCTGAACAACACGTAGCAGTTTCTGCACTTCACCTTCATTGTGAAATATGTTTCAAAAGTTTTCTACAGTTTTAACTTATTGTTGATTTTTAACGCAGTGATTAAATATCATTAACCACTACATTATAGACAACAAATTTAAAGAAAATTCCACTCTAGTAAACGTACTCGAATTGTGGTACTGGACTCTTTAATAAAGTTTATTCAACTTAGTGAGGCTGAATAAACTAAAAGTAGCGAGGTTGAATAAACTTAAACTAGTGAGGTTAAATAAACTAAATATGAATTTAGAGTTTTTTTCAATTTATTGAGTCAGACTCAATCTTTTTTCAGCTCAAGGTTAAACTCTCTGAACTAGTTTTGATAAAAGTTTTTTAGCAACATTTTTGTTCTCTGCACTAAAAAGATTTCTTCAAGAAAGTAAATGGAAATAAGGTCTTATTTAGGTATTATGCATGTGCTTCATTTGAAATCACCGTGTTACCAATGTCATTTAAAATTGTTTCACAATCCAGAACAAAGTGTTCCAAGTTTTCTCTGTATTTTATCGTTTGCTAATTGATTTTTACTTCTTTCAAACCAGACAGAATGAAAAAATGGAAGCTTTAATTTAAAAACTGTTATAAGACGTGTACATTTTTGAATTTCAATAGTTTTTTGTAATTTTTCTGAAACAAATGTTTTAGTTAGGGGCCATCTTGCAAAACTTTACAGTTTCTATGACTATAATTTTACAAACTTTAAACAGTCAACTTTTAGTCTTGTTCCAGTTCATTTGATATTGTTTAAACATAAATTTTCCAGGAGATTTTTCACTACTAAGTTTTTTCACAGATGTGCATGTAGTTTATAAACATGTGTTTAGAAACAATATATTAGAAAATAAAAATGCTTTTGTACGCTACTAAGGAATAATATAACCTTCTGTGAGCAGATGGTTTTGTTTTACTCGCGTAACAAGGTAACTTTCACACACACACAAATGCTTTTTATTGCCAATTTCTAAAGATCCTGTAAATTTATTTATTGATTTTTAAAACATAATTGTTATTATTATTATTATTTTTTGAATACCGTTCAAGACGGTATTCAAAAAATAATAATAATTTACGGTTTCAAGCAGGAATTTAAAACACTCTACTTTTTTGGCTTTAAATCGGATCAGCAGGAACCCAAAAAAATAAGTAAAATTTTTCTAGCTCAAACTTATTTTTACATAAATAGTAATTTTTTAAATTAAGGTGGGATCCTTATTTTAAATTAAGGTGGGATCCTTATTTTAAATTAAGGTGGGACCCTTATTTTAAATTAAGGTGGGATCCATATTTTAAATTAAGGTGGGATCCTTATTTTAAAAAATTACTTCGTATTTTTCTTAACCATTAAAACTGCAACCGTATTTATTACCTACGGATATTAATATAGTTGTCTATATCTTTTAGAAGTTACTGTACTAAATTTTGACAAAAATTTAGTAAAAAATAAATAAAAAAAGAATAAAATCAATAAAATTTTCAATATCTTTATCAGAATTTCCTTTAAAATATTTATTCTTGAAGTCGTTTGCAAATTTATTATTCTTTTACATTTAATTAATTTAAATATGCAGACTTTTTGTTAATTATCTTAAATTTTCGTTATTTATAATATTTACGTTATTTATAGCATTTTAATATATTTTATGATATTGAAACATAAATTTTACTTATATTAATTACGATCTGTACAAATCCCAAAATAAGAAATTTTGTCATTGTTATTTTTTTTTTTTTTACTTTTTTATTTTTTTTTTTTATAAGGCGATTTTTATTTTCAGTTTTTCCGCTTTCAGACTTTTGCAAATGGATTTAAATAAACCAGGAATCCTTTATTAAACAACTTCTGGTGATAGTTATTGGAAATAAAATAAGAGATCTAAAAAAAAAAATTAATCTAGTTATTTATTTTAAATGTGCAAAATATAACAAGCCGGAAAAATATAACAAGCCGGAAAAGAAATTTGCAAAATATTAAATTTCACATGATAGTTTCATGTGGTAAAATTCGAAGAACCCAATTCATAGTGTAACTTATTTTTAACTAATCTTATAATCCGTTTTTTCAAATTTGGAAAATGAAAGTTTGTTAATTGTTTAAGAGTCCAATTTAAGAGAAACTTATTTTAAATTTCTGTTCATAATTTATATGCCATGTTAAACTTAGTTTAGATTTAGAATGACTTTTACACTACATCTAATGTCATATTCTGCTTTCTGTGGTTTCCAAGCATGCTTTGCATTTAATAGTTTTAGTATAAAACTATGTGGTTTACACCATGCTTCCACCGTCTGACTATCTTTTTTAAACTAAAATATTTAGTTAAAAAAGTTAATTGAAATATTTAGCTTTAATGATAAACTTACATGACTGATTATTTTAAAGTATGCTACTTTATTATAATAGTTTATTATAACTATTCAAACTGCTTTAATCTTTTAAATCTTCAGTTAATATTGCTATAAGAAAAATTATTTTTATTAGGAAAAAAAAAAACTCCGTTAGGGTTGTGATGTATAAACTTAAGTTCTCAGTCAGATCTGTGTATCAATGTAACCTAAACTAATCATTCATAATGCAAACGACTTTTTTTATATTTATATTTTAATGCTTAAGTTGGTTTGTATTTTTACGTAAATAATATTTCAGCTCCTTTGTGAATTTCTGATTAGGGATCTAAAGCACATTTACGTATATTAAGAATAAAAAAAAACTGATAATTCTAAAAGTCCCTACTCTTAATCAAATTTCGATAAAATATTAAAAAAACTTATTAAATAAGAAAAATTGATTTTATTATAAACTTTAAACTAGTTTACCTTTTTTTTATGAAACTTGAAGCTTTTGAAGTTTTTTTTTAATGAATCCATGCAGTTTAAAGTTTAAAGAACTTGCTAACAAATTAAATACATTTGGAATTGTTATTATATTTTAAAATCTCCTTTTTTAAGACAACTTTTGAATTTTCTAATACCATAAATTATAATTGTTGCACAGAAATTAATACAATATAAAAATAACTTTTAATTAATTAACAGAAATTAATACAATATAAAAATAACTTTTGCATAAAAAATATATTAATATATATAAACTTGTTTTTTTAAAAAAAAACTATTTATGATGTAATTTGTTAAATAAACACAACAACATTAACATTATGAAAAAGACTATCAATCGAGTAAATAACATAAAGCTTCACAGCGAGGAACGTTTTGTCTTTTATTTTTTTTCACAATATTATTGAAAAATAAACAGATTATAACAGGTTAAATTAATGAATGTCTTTTCATATAAATTATAAAACTTATTTAATTATTAAATAGACATTGAATAGTTAATATACTGACTGTCATATGCTTAAATTTCTTTATTACTTGTTTTTTTCACCTATTTTTGCATGAAAGGAAATACTAGGAATAAAATTAGGAAAGAGGGGGAGGGGTTAAAAAAACCTCAAAAATTGCTGACTGTTTTTTTTTTTTTTAAGTAAAAGGTCTTAAAAAATCTGCCGACTGTAACGGTACCAAATGCTGACTAGCCGGCTATATTTCTTAAAAAAAATATATAAAATTTTTTTTTATATATTTTTATAAATTTATATAAAATATATAAATATATAAAATATATTTAATATATTTATAAAAAAATGTTGTTTTTAAAACAACATTTTAGAAATCGACTAAAAAGTGAAAAGTAAACTATTTCACGGGACCCAAGGACCTTTTGCGTACATACACAACCTGAAATACCCATTAAAGTCTATGACTGAAAATGTTGGGCAACTAAGTACAACTCGTTCCTATTGGCGCCCATGGTTATTTCAGGTTGTGTATGTAAGGATCCTTGGATCCCGTGAAGTTTTTTTTGTATAATTTTTATTATTTACTTCTAAGCCC